GGGAATTCTAGCCGCTCAGAAGGGGCTGGGGGTCAGGGTCCAGCCATGCACAGCCCCTGTTCCCAGGGAACAGCCGTTTCCGTGGAAAATTCCCAGCCCGCGCGTGCGGGGCCAGGTTTTCGGCTGCAAGAGCTCATGCAGCCGCTCAGGCCCTGCTGCAGGTCAGCGTTTTCCAGCTGCTGGGAACAGGCTGCGTGAGAACCAGCTCCTTCCCACGCCTGCCCGGGCCATATCCTGCCACCCCTCCTGGGCTGAAAACCGGGGTGATGCTCAGATCCATAGGGACCCATCTGGCAGCACAGCCCCATGGTTCTGGTGACGACCAGCGCTGATGCCTGTCAGTGTATGGGTGCCCCCACGGGACCCTCCAGCCCAGTTATCCAGCTCTCGAGAGCCCAGCGTTGGGTTCAGAGCCACCCCAGGGGGATGATAGATGTCCCCTTCCTCAAACAAAACCCCCTGCCGCAATGGGTTGGAGCGGCCGAGCGCTTGGCTCTGGAGCCAGGGTCACATCCCCTGAGCCCGGGGACGTGCCGTGCAGCACCAAGTGCGCTGCTGGCCACACAGGCACTGATCCTGCTGCAACCCCGACATCAACAATTCGGGGCTTGCGCAGCTCTAGCTGCCTGGCCTGGTCCCCAGGGGCCCAGTTTGGTACTGGGCTGTACTGGGAAGCAAAAAGCATCCCCTGTGAGGCTGTGGCAGGGTTGGCCAGGTCATAAAGCAGGTCCTGCCTGCACCAGGCAGGGCTTGGACCCCGCTTGCCCCCCAGGGAGGGGGAACAAACTGCTGGCAAGGTCACAGTGCCAGGGCGGATGCGGGAGGCGATGGGGAACCTCCAGGCACCGCCTGGCAGGAAAGGCTGAGCCCAGAGATAGGGCTGGAGCCCACAGCACCATCCGTCCTCCCGCTGGGCAGATGGGATAGGGCAGCATGCATGGGCAATGCCGCTGGCCACCAGCAGTGGCAGGAAATCCTTCCCCCTCCCCGGTTTCCAAGCCCTGCTGGCGAGTGGCAGCCCTGAATTATCCCCCGCAATATCCAGTTTCCACAGAGACCCGGCACACCGCAGGATGGCTGGACACAATTTCCCAGGGCTGCTTCCTGTCCCCTGTGCCTACGTCAACCCAGTGCCTCCCGTTTCCACCAGTGGCTGGGAGGGTTAGGGGGGGCTTCTCAGCTTTACCTTCTGCTCCCAGGGTGCTGTGTGTCCCCACGAGCCGTCCCGAGCCCCTCCGAGCATGGGGATGCTCTGGGGCAGGTTCCCAGAGGTGAATCTGGGGCTGGACCAGGCTGCCGTGGCCAAGTTGAGTATGGTGGCATCAGGGCGATCCCAAGCAAGGCTCAGTCTCGGGAGGGGGAACCACGCCAGCAGAGCAGCACCAGGGGAAAGAGGGTGTAAATACCCCCAGGAGATGTAAGCCAGCCCTAATTCCACAGCAAATGGTCAGAAGCAGACCCACAGCCGAGTCCAGAGGCAGAGTGAGGAGCTGGGACAGGGAGCACTAAAAACCTTTTAGAGCACAAGCGGATGAGGAGATCCCCTGAAAACACAGCAGGAGCCCAAGACCTAAAGAGAAAGGAAGAAAATCTTAGTGTGGGACAAGATTGGCCTGGCCTGGCTGGCAAGTTAGCTAACTGCAGGCAGGACCAGGATGGTTGGGAGACACGGAGCCCTTGGGGGTAGGACAGCGCTGATGAGAGGGTGAATCGGGGCTGAAGATGGGGGAAACTGAGGCAGTGCATGCTCTAAGCACCAGCGAAGGCAAAGCCTCTCCCAGTGCTGCCTTCTCTCGGTGCAGTCAGACTAAGCCCCGCCTGGAAGTTTGTATTAAACGTTTACAAGGGTTCAAAAAAGGCGTACAAAAAAGGTAAAAGCCACACTTGCCTCTTCTCCTGGGGAGGCTGGTAAAAGCACTCCCCCCAACCAGCATCCCCACCTTCCTCAGCTGCCCAAAGACGTGCTTTGCCCAAGGCAAAACATGCCCCCAGCAGCCAGGAGAGGGTTAGCAGAAAGCTCAAATGCTTGAAGCACGTTTACGCTCAGTCCTTAGTAATCTTGACATCATATTCACACTGCTCTGCTGCAGCCGGGGATAATCCGTGTGCCTGGAGGGAGCCTATCCAAAGGGAAAATCTCCTCGCTGGAGGCCACAGTGGCTGAAGACTAATAATACAAGAAGCATCAGCGCTCTGGGCTGCTCCTTATACAGGGCAGGCTCTGAGCACACAGTCTACCAATGCCCAGGGAGACTTCTACAGCCATGGAAGAGTGACCTGAGGAGCGGCTCCCTGTGTGCCCCGAGTGTCCAGAAACCAGGGCTGGGCAAGCAGGGATGGGAAAGGACAGACAGATGCCGGCCAGGACTCAGGTCAGCCCTCACGCCGCAGCAGCACGTTCACATGGGGTAGTTGAGAACAACATCTTGCTTGGCCAGCTCCAGCAACATGGGGTCGTCGAAGAACTTGCTGATGCTCACATCTTCGCTCA